TTCGAGAGGAGGACAAGGCCAAGACAGCGTTTTGGGGTGTCAACTCTCACGACATGGATTGTTTGTATAAGTGGCGATTCTTACCCTTTGGGTTGAAGAATGCACCTGCCGAGTTCCAGAGAGTGATGGACAGGATTCTAGCGGGGCTAGATTTTGTCAGATGTTACATTGATGATATCTTGGTGTTTAGCGACACGGTGGAGCAACACCAGATACATTTGCAGATTGTGCTTGAGCGGTTAAGGGCTCATGGTCTGCGGTTACATCCTGGGAAGTGTAGGTTCTTCCAGGAGAAGGTGGAGTACTTGGGTCATGTGATCTACCCAGGTGGTTTGGGAGTTCAGCAGGCAAAGGTGGAGGCTATTGCACGCATTCCTCGTCCAGCGGATGTGAGTAGAGTTCGTGCATTCATGGGTTTGGCGAACTATTACCGGAGATATGTGAAGGGATTCAGTGCTATAGCGAAGCCTTTGAACCAATTGCTGAAGTCGGATCAGGAGTGGCAATGGGGAGATGAGCAGGAGAGAGCTTTTGTTGAGCTCAAGGCCAGGTTGGTGGCCGCTCCCATCTTGAGGAGACCTATCAGAGGTCGACCATACCAGTTGCACACTGATTGGAGTATGTTGGGACTTGTAGCGGTGTTGACGCAGTGTGATGATGAGGGCAAGGAGTTTGTGATTGCGTACACTAGTCGTTCGAACAATGCAGCAGAGTCGCGGTATAGTTCGTACGAGGGAGAGTGTTTGGCAGCGGTGTGGGCTGTGGCACACTTCAGGTGTTACTTGTTTGGTACGCAGTTTACCCTTGTTACCGATCATCAACCGCTCAAGTGGTTGATGGAGTCTGACAAGCTCACAGGGAAGCTTGCACGGTGGGCTCTCATCTTACAAGAGTACGACTTTCAGGTGGTGCATAGGCCTGGAGTTGCGAACCTGGATGCCGACGGTTTGAGTCGGAACCCATGCACTAGCCAGGAGGATGACACTGGAGCTAGGTGGCATGGTGAGGTGGATGAGAAGATGGTGCCCGGTTGGCATGCATCGGCCTTCATGTGTTGGTTTTGTGGAGCCTCTAGCAGTGAGGACCACTTGACATCTTACTCTAGTCAGAGAGTAGATAGTCAGTCTTCGGATCCTGAGGTTGAGGATGGTGGTGTGGACCAGCGGGATGTTCACGATGATGCGTTGGTGTTGGAGTTCCTACGGACCAGTATGGTGCCAGGCACAGTGGGTGCCAATGAGCGAGATCGTGTTCTCCAGAGGGCGAAGAGATACCGATTGGAGAACGCACATGTTCTCCGAGTGTGGGAGGACGGTAGGGTACGGGTAGTACCGCATCCAACTCAGAGAGCACGCATTGTGAGGCATGCTCATGAGGAGTTGGGACATTTTGGAGTGAAGCGTACGTACAGCTTACTCCTAGGTCAGTATTGGTGGCGTGGTATGCATACGTAGGTGCAGCATTTGGTATCACGTTGCATGGTTTGTGATCGAGTGAGGGCATCGTTCAATACCCCGACACCAGAGTTACATCCCTTACCTATCATGGGATTGGGTTACCGTTGGAGTTTGGACTTTGTTGGACTGCTACCTTTGACTACACGACATCATCGGTATGTGTTGGTGATGGTGGAGCATTTCTCCAAGTGGATTGAGTTGGTGGCATTACCTGACAAGGCGAGTGAGGGAGAAGCATATGCTTTCCTTGACAAGGTGCTTAGTCACTTTGGTGCACCAGCTGAGGTGTTGACCGATCAGGGGACAGAGTTTCAGGGTGAGTTTCAGGTCTTGTGTGACAAGACGCTGATTGATCACCGGACTACTTCCCGAGATCATCCAGAGGCGGATGGTTTGGCTGAGCGGATGGTACAGACGGTGAAGAGAGCGTTGCGCAAGTATGGCCTACAGAAGGGGCATCTTGGGGACTGGGATATTCAGTTACCATGGTTGGCCATGGGATATCGATTCAGTCGTCAAGCATCCTTGGCTTCGTTTTCACCATATTTTCTATTGTACGGCCGAGATCCAGACTTGCCTGCAGCGATTCGTCGTGAGTCTAGCGAGGTGGTGAACCTTGATGATCCAGATATGTGGGTGAGAGTGTGTTCTCAACGTGCAGTGCTCTTTCGAAGAGTTATGCCTGCAGCGTTTGAGAACCTTGCGATTGCTCAGCACCGGGATACGTTGCGGTATGCAACTATTCAAGGAGGAGGTTATCGACCATCGATTCGTAGGTTCCGCGTGAGAGACTACGTCTATCTACAACAGACTGCACCGACTACGTTGGATGTGACGGCATGACGCACTATCTTGCGAGTGCGAGAGGTGTTACCTTCTGGAGTTCTCATGTTGGAGGGTCGTGACGGTGTCGTTTGGAAGAATCATGTGCGCAACTGTGCGCCATGCCACCTCCCAAACGTGGATGGTACTATGGACCCAAGCTTGGCGATTGTACGTGCCGGCTTGAGGTGCATGTTATGTGGGTCAACTGATCAGGCGGCCCATATGTTGGTGTGTGATAGGTGTTCTAGGTGATGGCACATGTCGTGCTTGACTCTAACTATCGATGTTGTTCCTACTGGACGGTGGGTTTGTCCTCGATGTACTTCAGAGGGTAGATGACTTGATCTTCACATGTTATGAATTGCAGATAGGCGACTAACGATGGGTCGACATAGCACCCGGCCTACTAGTTCGCGCACCCACGAAGGTGCATAGCATGTAGTTGTAGATAGGGTTACCTGGGAGTTAGAGGGACCTGACCACCAGCTAGGGGGGCGAGTTGTGATACCTTTGTGTGTGGACACTCTCGTTCCTTGTGTATGTATGTGTGAGTTGTGAGTAGAGCATGTCAGCGATGTATGATGTATGGCGATACTAAGTCGCACGACAAAGTTTTTAAGTACTGAAATATTGTTTAAAGTACTCCAAGAAGAGTTTGCTAGCCTCGTCTATGTGAAAATACCGTCGGAAGAAGTATGAGGTGATATCAGTTGCAGTGGATTCATCAATATCAGTGAATTGCTTCAGATGGGTGAATAATCAATTTACTCAAATAATGAAGTGTATTTGGACTAACACGAGGTTGTTTTGTTTTACAAGACTTTTGCTTTGTCACTTTTGTGGAATTAGTTAAGTCTAATTTTATTTTAAGAGTGTAGTGATTTTAGTGTATATACACCTAACACATACCCAAGCAGTTTTAGTGATACATACCCAAAAAATATCACGCTATACACGTCTCATGCTGGAACAATCGCTGTGCATCCAAATTGCGCAATTACTTGGGTGTATAGCGTGACATTTCTTGGGTGTGTGCGGTTTAAACTGCGTGGGTCTCATTCTGGAACAATCGCTGTGCATCCCTATTGCGTAGTTACTTGGGTGTGTGAGATTTAAACTGCGTTGGTGTATAGCGTGGCATTTCTTGGGTGTATATATACTAAAATGAATATCACCTTATTTAAATATGCGTTTTTGTTTCATATTATCATGACTTACAAGGAGCAAGAGTGCCCAACCCCGCAAGGCGTGTCATCCGTGTCATGCTCATCTAGGGTTAGGGCTTGCACATTGCCGTTCTGGAACGGATGGCATCTGATCTGTAGAATACCCTACAAGCTCCGTGTTTTGAGAACATATATAAACCCAGATGAGCTTGGTTCGTTCCCAGTACATCTTCGATCAAGAGCTGTCCTACCAGTCCGAATGTTGTTTTCGGCATGCTGTCGTAGACTGAACTAATCTTCAAGTCTTCTTTTGCAGTCGTCGATGAATGTTTCCTTCCGTGAGTGAGGGAATGCGTTCGTACAAGACGTAGCGGCGGGTACGTCCAGGGTAGTCCGAAATCTTACACCAGCAGTGGGATGAGTACAGGTTGGACGCCAGGATATCATCACCATGAAGTGAGGCACGGTTTTCAGTCGTGAGATTTGTTCCAAGCAGGAAATTAGATACACGAGCAGCCCTTTCCTGAATGGAAATGAGGATCCTTTCCCCAAATGAACGACGCTGATTCGGACTGTGCGACAAGCTCTTCGGAGCCAAGCCAGAATACTGATCCGTTCAGGAGTTTAGATTTGTCCTCTGCAGTAGAATCGTAGTAGAAGCTGCCGCCATCAAATCAGGACAGCCTCTCAGGCAACCTTATGCACCGACCGTGTGCAAATATGGTGTTCCGTTGTCCTCACACTGATTTCCTGTTCTGAGAGTACCGGACCGGTCCACGGACTTGCTTGAAAAGCTCTCTCAGAGCGGGAATACATCTATAACTCAAGTTCACTGTCTGACATAACATACCCGTACCTTAATGTCATGCCGGATCGAGGCTGATCTGGTGCCCTGTGCCATCGAGGAAGGGCGGTCGGTTTTCCACCAGCGTCATAGAGCTACACCGAGAATATAGTGAGATTTGTAAACGTTAGCAGCATAGCACAAATCATTGAGTAGATCTCTTGTCGTTTAAGACAGCAGGAGACTAAAAGCTCTGTCTATTACAGCATCGTAGCCTAGTGGATGTGATACTGCATCACATCTCACGAGTAGAAACTTGCCGTGCAGGTGACGGGGCCAACATCCGGAGAGTCGTTGTGCAGTCACACTCAACCTACAAATTTCAAGGTTTTAGACTGTAGAGTGCGGAGACTGTTGGTGTAAATAATCGTGGATCCCTCCGGATGTAACCGTTGGGCTAGAGACTACATAATTTCGGCCACATTTGACAGAACTATATAATTTTTCTTGAGAACACCAAGTAACCTACTGACTGCTAACAGCACCTTCTAAATAAGCAGAAGCCATTACGAGAGTATGAACTGTTATAGCAATTACAAATATCATTGGATATCAAAGAAACAGTAAGGGCGAGGAAAACAACAGCGAGCAACCCATGCAATGTAAAGCTGGATTTTAAAAATTCTGTTCTGGATACGACAATCACGAGACGTGAACGACAAGCCCAAGGTTTTATTTCACTGCTGATGCCTAGAACATCACGGTGTAGATAATTTACATACTCCTTCGTCTGTACATTCTTAGACTGACTACCAGCCTTATGTGTAACCTCGCTTGGCCACTGGCACTTGGCCAAGCTCTTATTCATAGGAACTATACGAGTTGTCACCGGATCTTCTCGAAAACTAGCCCGGAAACATTGCAAAGTCTGATGCGTACGTTCGTATGTAGTGCCGGACAAACTTTGCTAATGGTATACTAAAGAACCGAACAACTATAAGCAGTACTTTACACAATTTCTCAATCTCCTTCATCTCCCTCGGTCAGTCCGATGGCAAGAATATCTTTTTATCCCGGTGAACCTCCATTGCGTGTTGGAGTCATCACGTCGAAGAACAGGCTAAAAGTCACTGGGTGTACTCTGTTGTCAAATCTGTTGTATACTGCCGGACCTCGGCAGCATGACGTGTCACAAAAACACCTTAAGATTTACTTTATCTACGGACAGAGACGTTGCAAGCATGAACTTCGAAAAAAATGTTCAGCTCTGAAGAAACATATCATAAGAGGCCTCTTGGCACTACAAAAAAATACAGCGGATCACTAAGCTCCGCTGTTCCAAAGCTCTTTTCCAGATCCATGAACTAAAAGTACACGCCTTAGTCCTTCGGTTAGATTTTCACAATACTGCATGTAGGTTTCAGGTTCCATTCCGTGGTAATGATCTGGGAGGTTCAGCAGAACCAATTGAGCGTTTTTGGAATGTTCGAGAATCATATCATTTAACTTCTTTGGAGAGTAACTTTGACTGAAGGTCTCCCAAGTCCGGTTTGTTTCCGGAATCACAGCATCAACATCTCCAAAATCAGACATAGAATGGTGGGGGGATCCAGGATAGAGTTGACCTGCGCTCCCCATCCGCGTCAATGGCTTCACACTCCCTCCTTCCTGCAAAGCGTTGGGATCATTTTATGGATATCCGTGACTTTCAATTTGCACAGGTAAAACTTTTCCGAACACTTCTCAAAGGACTCGCTCTACATGATAGAATGAACAACTAGGAGTGCTTTAATCGAATCGACATCTCATGTCTACATAGAACGAAGTAAAAATGATCACCAACACCTAGTCTGGAGATAAAAATGGTCAAAAGACTGGAGAAAGCCTCTGGGGTTACCTCTAACCAAGAAGGGTAACACTCTCTACAACTTAGAGCTGACTACTCATGAGCTAAAAATGGCCAAAAATTATAACAAGCCTCCGGGACTAATTCTGATTAAGTGGTGTTACACTCTTTACAACAAAGGGGTGACCGCACATCACTGTGTGCTACAGCAGAATCATCAACTCGTTAGAGAACCCTTACCCCTGGGGTTTCCGAATCATCTTCGCTCCTTGCATCTACATTTATCTCCACTGAATCTGACCTCCGAAGTCCCTGTCCACAGTCATCAGCCCACCTAGTTTCCTTGCCGACCCTCTGCTGTGTGGAAGACTTTTCTCCAGTTAGCTGCTGTACTTTTGGTGTGCTTGGCGACAGAAGAGACGTGGATGGCATTGTGCTCTTTTGAATCGCGGAATTTGCAGTCTCTTTCCTTGAGGTCTGTTTTTCGTCGTAGAAAGTTTCATGCTTGGCTTGAATCGGTTTCAGCGTTTCCTTGAACTCGCTTTCTTCAAGTCTGCCGCCTTCCGTTGGAGTGCTTTCTCCATCCTGCACGAAACAATCATACAATTAGTTGCATTGAACATGGCTGTGACATGATAATCTAGTCCACGGACGTAGCGTTTTTGGAGAAAACAAATGAAAGGACGCCAAGCAAGCAGGAGAAAAACGATCCGCAGGTTCTAGCTCCGAAGGGATGATCAATGTCAATAAAAATTGACAAATTACAGGCTAGTGTCGTCTAGGTAATTGTTCTCGCTGGTATTTATAACATGGACTTAGTGGCATAGGTGGCGAGTGACTGATAACTTGGAATAAATAAATTTCAAAGAACGACTCAACTGTATAAGCTTTGGGTGCCTCTACCAAGATTACCAAGTCCGGATTGTACATGAAGCAAGACCTAATTGAAACTTTGAAAGAATAAGTACTGAGTTTACCAAGCTCTGTGCATCGCCGTTCCCCGCCATTTTCAGGGCATGGAGTGGTCCGCTACGAGGGCGAGGCTGGTGAGGGACTCCATCGAGCATACTTAGCTCTGTCGGTACGCTTTTCTTCAAAATCTGTTCTATGCTTCGGCCTGATTTACTTTTATCGAGCTTAGGTAGGACCTCGCTTTGCTGTTTCGCCAACAACTCGTGCTTTCCAAGCTCTAAGTTATCAGGAACATATCTGTAATAACATACGCAATTGGAAAATAAAAAGATTTGAGATTCATGTTGGACATTACACAGATTATATAGTAATTCATACACTAGGTAGACGGTAGGACACGGCCGTTTCTTGAGCATAAAAGACGTGAATGGTAGCTTTGAATGTAAAAGAGATACCGGTAAGTAGAGGAAACCTACCTGGTGGAACCTTGTTTAGAGCCTGGTTCAAGCCTTCCGCTGCCCAGAGCTGAGGGATATCTAGTGCTATGATAAGTCTGCAAAATGATGGACTGTAAGTGTCAGTGTCGCACATCCTGTAGTCCACCTGTCAAATATTTTGTCAGATACATCAGACATAACTCACCTAGAAAACAAGCACAAACTTCAGATACTTAACATTTATGGCGAAGACAAAACTGGAAGGCCCATGCTACAAGAAAGTTTATCTCGCTGGTAAGAAAGTGAACAAAGATATTTAGAATGTGACAGCGTTCCTGGTGCTTACCACTGCTGATTTATCTGCCAAGTTGTTTGAATCGGTTGGAAGGGGTCCACTAAACGAAACATTTTGTGAGTTATTATGCATCGTGGGAGGAATGTCTTTAAATATATTGTCAAGGGTCTCTCGTTCTCCAGACTTGGTCCTTGCTAACATGGGACTTAAAATTTGCTCTACCGTTCGTCCGGCTGGCTGATTGGCGGGCCTCCTGATTGTTTTCGCATTCTGTTCCAAAGCCTTCTTTCGATCCTCTTGGGCCATTCTGCATTTATGGAAATGTCAAAAACATCTGCTGTAAAGAAAATTCAGCTTAGATCATAATTCAAGATTAATAAGTTTTTGTGCTGTAAAAGTGAAAGCAACAGGTTTGAACTAAACAAAAGTACTGTATGTAGCTACTGCTTTCACTGGACCACCTCCATGTGGATTTTCGAACACCGTGGATGAATATCATGAATCACAGTAATCAAGGAATTATGAACAAAATCAATATAGGGCTAGCATAAGGAAGGCTAAACAGGATATACCTGTAATGGGCGATCTCTTCTACAAAAGCGCGTCTTTCTTCCAAACGAATTGTGTAATCAAAAGTGTACGGTGCTAGACCAGTTTCATCCAACTCAAGAACTTGTACATCAGCTTGTATGCGCACCTGCTCCGCATATATGAATAAATATTTAGTACATTCTAACGCCTCTTGCATGATAACAACAACGACAGAAAGGAAGAAACAATTTGCTTATAATATGAAACAATCATAGAATGGTTCAGGCACTTAAAAAAGATAGGTATACTTTCAGTAAACTCTGTAAAGGTTTGTTACATGTAAAGATCTGAAAGTGTACCTGATCCAGAAGCTTTCTCAAGTTCCTCTTCACCACCGCCGGATCATGAACGTTCTCAGCGACTGTGTAGACTCGAAGTTTGCACTTTCGCCAAACTCTATGCTGTTGGAGAAGATGAGCCAACATCAACAGTAATCCACCATCATGCACGATCCACCAGACATCGATGGACCCTTCTTGTTGAGCCCCACTCGTTGGAAACTCATCTAGGTTCATGCAAAGCAGAACTGCCTTGTCAACAGCTTTGCACTCGGTCAATATCTCCAGCATTACCTGGAATTGATATCACAATCACAGATCCATCAGGCCATTGGTTGGATAAAGAAGGGATGAATAGGTTGAATCTCCTGAGGGTCTAAGAAGTCAAGGAATAGCACACAGCCTATTATGCGGAAATCATAAACAATCATACAGATGTATTTGCCCCTCGTTTATGTAACCAAGAATACTGCAGTATACGTTCTTAAAAAACTCTTTAAACACCATAGTGGGAAAGCATTGAAAGCAGGGAAACATACTAACCTCAGAATTATGATAGTGCTCATCTTCACGCCAATTGTTAGGCCAACCTAGCACCAACGTATTAGGCTCAAGACCTCCGAGTCCTGACGACTGGATGGCATATGTTTTACCCTCTTTGTACGATGGAGCCACCAGCACTCTGGTAAATCCAGTTACATTTGCTGCTTGCATGCAGTTTTCAAGTTCCAACTGGTATAGCAAACAAATGTGAAGCATATAAGATACTATGCGGCGTCCAATATTGCAGAAGTCAGTTGTAGTTTCAACAAACGAATGTTAACTTTATGTGTTGTGTTTTGGACTTTCTTGACCACACGTATCTAAGAAAACGCGACAATAGAGAAGTGCCAACATTGATAAGTTGTTTCATGCAGGAAAATTCGAAACTGACTTCTGTTAGCTACGACTTACCCTTTCCGCATCTACTTGTGCCCCCATTTTCTCCAACTTCCCTTCAAGAATTGTCGCCATGACGCAGAGTCCTCTACCCTGATAATAGTGATATCGTCACTTCGTCAGAAAGCGCATGAAGCTGATCTACGAACGAACCTTTCGATTTGGAAAACACTTTCCACTTCAGTAAAGTTACTATGAGTAAAGACAATTGTTTCACAACATTACCTTCTTTAGTTGAGATACGAATGAAAGGAACTCTTGATTATCATGATCATCTGAAGACCTTGCCGACCGAGGTTTACAAAGGCAAAGCAGTTGCGGCCTCCAGTTAACACTGTAGCGTGCTTCATGTCCCACGGCTAGAATGCTCTGTACTGCAAGCTGCAAACGTAATCCTCCTAAACCTGTTCCCCAGTCGACTTCCACCTGAGTCATGTTTTAAATGTAATGAGAATCAATACGCTCTTCAACTTACTGAGTTCCTGCATTTGTGATCCCATTTATTACTAAGAACAGAATGTTGGGCTTCAAACGCTTGAATCTGTTCTATGATATGTCTGAAGCTGGTCATGAATTTGGAAAGGTACCTGACGGTAGTCAATGTAGATATACAAGGCAACCAGCAACGCGACAGCGGCAATTGCCCAGTACCACTTGATAGCAAAGTTCATGCCGAAACAGAGAATGAAACCCAGTAGAGCAAAAGACCAATGATAGTATTTCCACATCGGCCTCCAACTGTCAAAACCAAAACAAGCAGATCACGTGATTATCGATATATAGAGAGCACAAGTGGATGGGAGGAATAAGACAATACAAGGGGGGTGATATGTGGCGAACTTCCCTAATAATTATCACCTTTGATCATCACCACATATCACAAAAACGTGCAAGTGTTTAAATACGAGAAGGGTTATTGCAACGTAGCAAGATAGAATTATACCAAACTATTAGGAAAGGCAAACACCACATTCTAGATTTTGTTTTTCCTATCAAATAGGCAAAATCGACAAAGATACCTTGGAGCTTTTAGCATAGAGAGGACCACGCAGGAGAAGTTGAGAGCGGAATAACAACTTAAGAAACATATCGAAACGAGGGGAGCAACAGCGTCAAGACTTCCAATCATAGCTGCTAAAACGCAGAGAACTGTGGTGGCCAACAACGCCGCCCTAGGTTCTCCATTAGTCGAGGTCTTGGCCACTCTACCCAAGAAAGGAATAACCCCATCACCAGCAATAGCCTGTACACAGTTCAAAAGATTAGAAGAAATCTGACAATCAAGCTTCTACGCATGTAACAAATGAGCCTAGATTTTGAAGACAACCATGAATGGTCGAGTTTCAAATTTGTTCGTGAAGTTGCGAAACCTGAAAGCATTTGAAGAAAGATAAAGAATGGACATTTCGCTCATTTGAGAGAAATTTCACTTCAAATACCTGGAGAAGTCTTGGAGATGTGATTAGACATTGAAATGCTTGAGCCATAGAGGCTATGATGATCCCAAGTTGAGTAAGAATGGCTAGGGGAAAGGCAACGTCAACCACGACATCCAGATTACCGTGACCACCACCGTGACCTCTTTGTGAACCATCAGGAAGCTCTCCTAAGAGGTATCCCCTTGTTCCAACAGCGGCCCAAAGTCCCATGTAAGATAGATACATCACCAAACTGATACAAACGGCTCCAATTGTTCCAGCAGGTATCGACTTCTCTGGACGAGCCAAAGCTTTAGCCCTGTCTGCACCACTATTCATGGATTTCATAGAGTTAAAACTCAGAAAGACAGATGATTTCTGTAGAGGTATTGCGGAATCTGATGCAATTTACTCATACAAATGTTGTTCATAATCTGGCATTCGAACTAATAAGACGTTGGTTCAGGTGATAGTTGCATTGAGAAACAAATGAAGAGATCAATTACGTTCAAGACCAACCTGAGGATTCCTGTGAAACAAGGAAAGAAAACGGCAAGGACTACGGAGAAGGAAGCGTCCGAACTATAGCCCGAATTCCAATTGCCCTTGAATGTGTTCCATGAAAGACCCGTCATATTATCGGGAGCCTTTTTCCCAGGTGCAGTAAACAATCCCAAGTAGTATGAAAGCATTGTGTACAAAACCACCGCAAAGAAAACCAGGCTCAATTTGGAAACGAAAGATATTCCGAAATACACCTGCACATGCATGCAAAGCAATCAAAAGACAGGAGCAGATCAAATGTACTTATGTCGAACACTATTGAGCATTTTATCGGTAACAATAAGTAGATTGGAATCGAATTCTCTCGAGCGCAGTACAATTCAACTTATCAATGTTTCTCGCGTGGAGACGAAGCGAATCTGCCGCTTTCAAATGTATTAGTCATAACTTAAAAGATTGAATTTCCTGCCGTGGGTGTTAGAACCTCACACTCAAACCCATATCTCTGGTCTAAGAAATCTGATCGTAAAAATTCATCTTTCTTGCCATTGTTATCCACGTGAACGTGAATATGACCACACGGCAAAGTGAATGAATTTACCAGAAAACATAAGAAGCAGAGAATTATGGCGCCGAGCACACGATTGGCAGATACAAATTTGAGACTTGGAAAAGTAAACAGAAGCATCTCCACCGCTCCAAGTGACTGATTGAAGTAACGAAGATACAAAACTATTAGAGATGGATAACAACAATTCGATTTCAAATCTTGCAGATGATGTCCAAAATACGATACAGAGTCCAATTTCTCCAAGTACCATGAAAGCGGTAAATGTCAGTTTCGTTAGCTTTTCTTTATTGCATGGGCACTTCACTAAGGTCACTTGAAAGAGTCATAGAGAGAAGTATATTACCTCAAGTACAGCCAATAACGAAACTCCGAGGTAGTACATGAAACCAACTGAGCCGCCCAATTTGGGCCCAAGAGCTCTTGAGATGAGGTAGCTGGCGGAAAGACAGGTAGTAGTCAAGTTAGTAAAACGTAAGCTTAAACCCTACGAGAATATGTTGTAGAGTGGTAGAACACGAGAATAATTCAAGAATCTACTTTCAGGCCCTGCGACTACATGAGACGTGTGAAGCTTTGGCTTCGTCAGAGGCTAATCTAATCTGCATGCATATGATCTCACGCTATAACCACAGCTTTTAGTTGTAAGGACTTACTAGGTGCCTCCTTCCTCAATCGGTCCATTCGTAGCGATGGCACTTAACGACATAGTCGTCAATACAGCGCACAGAAACGAAATAAAAACAACGAGAAATGACTGCCATACACCCGCGTTTCCCACAACGTAGTAAAACCGAAGGAAGATCAGCACTCCTGCATCGCCGATATGACACGACTAGTGTCAAAATCAATATCATACAAGTTTGAGTATGCAGGTATCTGCTCTCTATTGTGCGGAGCTACACATAATCTTAGCACTAGGATTTGCTTGTCGAAACCTACAGAAGGATTTGTATGTAAAGTAACAGCCGCCGCGGATTGCAGGTGAATCCAGATTTTGAATTTTGATTTCTGAAGCATGATCGTACGAACAAGGTACTAGCCATCATGTAACCGATACAGATAGAAAGAAGAATTGATACTTACCCCACATATTCTCACACGTTGGAATGAGAACACCGGAAAGCGTGCCGAGTCCTTTCTTCGGATTGTCATCGTTGCCACCATTCCCTCCGAGCCTCTTGACAAGTGCGACAGGAGAGAACCTATTCAGACGTTTCTTCAAGGTGTTTCCAGAAGTTGTAGGCGGCATCTCCTTCATACCGATTCCTTCTTCCAAACTTGGGGACTTCATGGCAGAATTGTCCTCCAAGGATGCTTCCGAGGACTTCCGTGAGAAGACTTTGTGACCATCGAAAATGCCCTTCCCGTCTCCTTTCATTTCGTCCAACACCTACAGCAATCCTGCGTTCAAATTCAAAGGGAACGATGTCTCAGAGATATATTCCCTGCGAATTTGTCTTATGTGCGAATTTTGAATTCGACATGTACATACATTTGTGATGTAATCAACAATTCCTGACAGGAATAGCACAACCGCCTACCTCACCATCACCATCTCTGATTGAGTAAAGATTAGTCCTAACTAAAATTATGGCTTTATAGATTGTCCGGGACAGACATCCGTTGCATACACGTAACTGACTGCCATGGCTTCTCTCTTCCCGGTCACGTCTAGGAAACAATTGTGTAACATTATAAGCATGCCACAGCCAGTCAAGTACATGTCCACGGAGAAGCATGTAGTTCACAGCACATGACTGTCTGCCTCCTGTGGCGCTCAAATGTTCCACGTCAAATCTAGAAAATTAAAACAAGCCTGGCAATCTCAACAAGCTCACGGTGGGAAACTGTACGCCTATCTTCGTTCGGTAGACAATGAGAGAGAACGAAGAAGTATAATCTCAAACATGTCGGGATTCCCTTTGTGGAAGTCTGCACAAACGCCCAGCACCTTCACGGCCATGTCGTGATTCAGCTGCAGGGTAACGAGAATTACCCGAGATTGTTGTTGAGACGAAATCAATTCAAGAGAGTACTCAGGCGTTCAGCATAGCGGGCAACGTCCGCAGTCGGTCGCATCCACCACCTTGCAGTTTACATGCAGAAAGATACATACACTCGATGTACTACTGTAAATTCAATAGTTCATACTACACATCGTTGTATGGATCCCTCCAAAGCGCAACCGCTACATGCAAGCTATCTGTTGGAGCCCTCTCCGCCCAGATCAGATCGATCTGCCAATTGGACTGACTAGCTCCTGTTTGGCCCTCATCGCTATCTTCTCTGCGTCTGCGCGGCTTCTTATACCACTGGCGCCCGGTCCAAACCCGCCCATGAATCTATGCTTCCTCTAGCCACTCTGTACAAGTGCTCCCCCGCCTATGCCACACTGTCCGATCGTCAAATTTGCGACTCAGAAGTAGGGTCCACCCCTGCCCGACCAGTGGAAGCAAGTGATTGTAGGTCATAAACAGTGCGAGACGGAGTGGACGGGACGGGTGGAGAGGAGAGGAGAGGAGGAAGGCAGCGAGCGAGGGCGTCGGCGTCACTCCTACCTTGGAAGATTCATTCGTCTCCTACACACGAGAGAAATGCCGGCCCGGTCTAACGCGAATCCTTCCCCTAATCGTGTTCCTTATTGACGGATTCTGAGTTCCTCCTTCAGAAATCGAAGTTGTTCCTCTCGATTGATGCGAATTTCTCCACCTTTGTGCGGAAGATCTCTTTCAAAACTCTTCTTTTCTCTGGTACGAGTTTTTGGTTCGTCCTCCCGTCCACGACATGCATTGCCTGCTCCACGACTCGATCTGAGCTCTGACGCGAATTTCGACGGCCTTCCCCTCAAGGCGCACTTAAACTATGCGCCGGAAATCGCGTCCCGCGCTAGAGATGTGTGTAACTTTCTTTATTTAAGCCACCACGTGAGGGGAATGACTTCCAATAGAGTTAGTTAAGAAAGGTTGGAAATATAGGAAGCTTGGAAAGGGAAGGAGGTGATTACGCATCTTGGAGCTCCCCCTCAGATGGCTTGTGAGATGCGTAGTTGTACATGTACAGATATACCTTGTCGGCCATACAGAACTACATGGTGCGCTTCAGAAGAAAAAGAGAAAAGTGAAATCATTCGAAGATGTAAGCAAGCCGGAGATTATTTTACTGTTCTTATGCATTCAAGAAAACTCTGAGAAATGTTCGTTCAATTGTTTGGAATCGGTAAAGAGACTCCTGTGGATGCGAATCTAAGGTTTCAGCAATTCCTTACGCTAAAACCTTTCTACCGTTCTCCATACCATACACGACCATCATTATAAATTCAGAAGTAGATCACAAACCACTCAAACTCATGATGATTATTAGAGAATATCACGACTATCGCACTCTTCCAACAACCAGACATCGGTACTCCCACGGATCTATTTGGTGCAACACAGATTTCTCAACGGGTACTGAGGAAGTTCTGAGAGAATAATCAAGGAAGCTTACCCGCTAGTTACCCACTGAATTAACTGGCATTTTCACTTAGCCACTATCTAAACATCTACAGAACGTACCCTTTGAACCCAAGTGTACCTTCTTCTAGCCACAGAATATATATATAACCCACATGACCTACAAGTATAAATGAGTAATATCTTTACATTCATGTGAGTTATGATTGATTATTTAACACTAAATTTTTGTAATTTTAATTAGATTTAATTGATGAATTGTTTGAGAATGAATTTATTGTTATTATTATTTTTATGACACATTATATGTCAATTATGACTGGTAATATATTTATTAAATTGTATGATCTGTTTGTAGTTGTTTGAGATATTTATAATGAGATTGATTTGAAAACTTATTCTCTTTTTGGTTTTGAGTAAATATTGACTTGCAATAATTGAATTATGTGATGTGAAAATTTTCAGTGTTCAAAACTTTAGTATCATAGTAGAAGTTTAATATATCATACTAAAAATTATTTACCATAAATGTTGATTAAGTATGAAAAAATTTATCTGAAAAGAAAACGAAAGCATTAGCAATGCATTCATATATAGTTGAATAAACATTATATATTGGGTCGATAAGGTTTAAAAAAAAATATCATTGGTAAATGATAAGGATTTATTTGAACTCAATGATATATTGATAAGCATTCTTCCTTCTTTGATGTGAGACATCAACGATTTGTATAAAGCCAGCGAATATTCTCCGAAAGCATGAGTTATAAATTAGCTAATCATATGCTTTGGATATTTTTAATGATAATACATTAGATTCTAATATATTATTTAAATTCATATGCATAATATTTAAGATATCGCATAGTTTTATTAGATTCGTTGGTGAATTTTCATTTGAATTTAAAAAGAAAATAAACCATTTATCATAGATGTATGACTTAAAAATTTTATTTTTGACTTACTAAATTTTTAAAATGATTTTCGCATGTGAATATATGACTTTATGATCGAAAATATTGAGAAAATTCAATTGGATAATTTCCATATAAAAATTTGAAATTCAAAATAATTTTGAACTTCTTCATTAGTTTTTTTTTTTAATGTTTTTAGTATGCATGTTCTCCGAATTTTTCTTATCACCATAGAGTTTTTTTTATCAATTAAATTATTAAGTTGATTTTGATATTCAAAGATTCGAATTATACTTAAATTTCTATCATTATGATTAATTTTTCTAACTCTATGTCCAAAAATACGATATAATATTTTACATTGAAATTAAGCATTATTCTATGGTGTTGATTACTTAATTATTAAAAAATACATCTCTTAAAACTTGAAGTTGGTTAAGGTTTCACTATATAAATTAATGATGAAATAATTTGAAAATAATATTTACATAAACGTATGTCAAATACATTATTCAAAAACTGATGCTATCAGATATTTAATAGGTTGAAGAACATGTACAAAACAAGTACTATGTAGACAACTTGATGAAAATTGATACGTGCTTATACTTTAAAGTACATTACATATGAAATGTTTGACATGTATTTATGATATATCTCAATTGAGAGGTAAAATGCTTTTTCCATAAGTAGTTTTCTTTGAAGTTGGTTTATAATTTGGATTGTAGACATGACATTGATAATAATTGAAGGTTGAAAAATTTTTGATACATGTTTGCAACATATATCAATCTCTCTACAAACTGAATCTAGCCATGCATCCCATAAGAAAGATGATAATGTTTCTACATGCAAATTTTGTATGTAAAAATTTTTGAACTCTATTGATCATATTCAAGTTCGCACTACTACATAACCTTGGTTCACGTAGTGTTCCCGTAAATGAGATCCTAAATAGAGTATGAGGACTGGTCTCTGAGTTTTTCGAAGGGCATCATTGAATTTGTGTTGCTATGAAGATCTACCACCATCTAGACTCATCTGAATTCATCGATGTAGAGCATGATGGGCTCTTCTCATACTTAATGATATATATGTTTTATAATTCTTGCACATGAACTAAAATAAAAGAAATCAAAAGATTTCTTTGCACATTTGAAGCTTTTAAAATTGCATTAGATTCTCGAAACTTGTTCTTCAATTCGGTGGCCTTGGTAAAGATGAAAGTGGGCTAGTATTGTGGACCAATGTCACCAGGACAAACAAAGAACTTAGTGAATAGGGAAAATACATTCAACCTTCTTGGTTTCATTTTCATAAGGTTTGAGTTGATGGGTTTTCCAACTTTTTTGTTATTTTACTGTCTCCTCCCCGACTTCCTCCTAAAGTTGGGGACTCTCAAATAATTTTTCTCTCTTCTGCTGTGAATGGTTCTCGTTTCGTTGTGTCTTTAGTATCACAACTGTAGATACGGAAGATGAGTAGTTCACACAAATCTCAAGACACGAATGCCACCAGAGTTCGCTCCAATGATGGACAGGGGATGTACGAACAGTAGGGTGGTATGTAACTCTGCAGGAGGACAGTAAGGGCACATCTGCAACTAAGCATCACGATACATGGAAGGCCGCATTCATCAACATCAGCTTTTACTTGCCTGATGCATTTCACCAATTTACTTTGCATCGACCGGTAATGGTTCTGTCCGCTAGAGATTCCTTTTTCTGCATGCTAGACTCTCCGGACTAGACTATGTGAGAAGGTGACTAGATATTTCCCCTTTCGCTTCATGCTTGTGTTTTACGAGCTCGCTGGTCTGTTGAAGTCAAAAGAGTCAGTAAAAGTCTCGGGAATTGCAGAGAGAGAATTAGAAACTATTTTTATTGATGCATGTGATGAGTTTACAGCCTAGAGCTAGTGTCTGAGTGGTAGCTGTAGATCAAAAGGCGTAAAGTGCTTGTCCTCGCAGTAAACTCTAAAGATTTCACAGGCCAAGACTAATGAGCATACAATGATTAAAAAACACTATCTTCAACTTCAGTAAAACCCAGACTGTTGAGTGATCTACTTTCTAACCTTGCCTCATGACCTCCCTCCTCGTCTTATGTTTGTCTTATCTAACTTCTATCGGAATGCATCTTCTTCACATGCATGCGGGAAGCTTTCCCATCTGCATGCAAGCCCCAAGGTGATCCAGGTCTGTCGTTTGGAATCATGGCCAAGTATTGGACGTATGCATAACACTGCCCACTTTTGAATCTCGGTCCTGGCGGACAATGAAAAGATTCATTCGAAAGGCAGTAGATCGGTGACGTATTCTGTACATGACTATGCCCATGATAATGAAAAAGTGCAAAGAGTTCTTAAAACAAGTTCCAATAACGCGTTATCGGGTACATCAATGGAGATAGGCTCTTATCAGTTCTACTGTATCGGAAAACAAAAGAAAACTTCAATCATAGAAAAATCCTCACAAATGTGTGCTGTAGACACTAGAACCATCTTTTACAGTAATACAGCGACTACATCCAACGTAATTAGGGAATGTTTTGAGACTCCTGAACTTTGGACCTCCATGCCTTTGCTACACAAATCATATACTCGGGAACAAGTTAAGATGATCGCCATCAAAACGATGGACGGAGGGATATTTTGTTACATACATTCTGAAAGCTAAGTCAAAGCAAAGCATCCTAAAAGTTCCGTTTGACAAACAGTGGGTTCATGAATTGAGCTTTTTATTGCTGAAGCTCTACTTGATAAAAAAAGGTCTGGTTCTGTCATCCACATTGCACATGATTCAGCCTTGGCTCTTAATATAAAAAATATATTTTCCCGTGAACTTCACCTCATCTCAGATCATCAAAAAGAGTAACTGAGCAACAAAATCAATTACTTTCATCTTGTTATATTCATTTGATATAGAGCAAATAAGCGAACAACAGCTGCTCATGATCATGTTCCTATTCGTGCTCTTACTCTTGATACTTTGTGGAATTCATGCGGAACATTTCACTCACAGACCAAACCATATGTACTCTCGCTATACAGCATTGAATGGAAAGAGGGAACTTTAAGAATGTCGAAGTGTAGGTATGAACTGCGAGGTGGTGGTATGAGTATGTACATACAGACGAGTATATTCAATAGTAAGAAGAATGAGTCTGCTCTTGGTTTTGACCATCAAGCTCTGTTGGATTCAATAATATTTGTTCACTAAATTAGACTTATTGTCTTGGATCTTGTCATCATAGAGCCGACATGAAAGTCTAGTATGATGACATGCTACGTTAATGACTGAGGGAATATAGATATGAAGCAAGATAGATACACTCTTCTCATCTCAGTTGAAGACTGGACATCATGACATTGTTTGCTTTTCCTTGATCAAACTCAATCAAGAAAATGAAAAAATCAAAATCTAACTAAATAAATAATTTTTTTTTCTCAAAGACTGTGTATTATGTTCTCAATGTGAACAGGTTAGCTTTCATTTTGAGCTTTTAGTAACAAAGTAATGTAACAAAAAGTATGGGAGGACCTCGTCAAGTCATTCATGGATATAACCAAAAGGGTAATATTTAGCCATGCCCCAATAGAGATATGTTATGCATCACCTGAGATATCCAAACTTGGTCAAAAGATCTCTTTGACAAAACTGGATGCGGAATCTCCAATAGAAAATTTATTTCGCTATATTCGTGCCCGTGATTAAGTCGAAACCACCAAAGATCTGGGATAGTCTTTATGCATCGAAAACGATGGAAATGATTGTTTTTGCGATTCAAGCTGTTGTTTCAGTAGGCATTCTGTGGCCTACGGTCATGTGATGGTATGAACTGCTTGTAGAGGCAGACTTTATGTCGGGAGGTCGGTCTTGTTCGAAAATAAGTACTGCATCACGGCACAAACATCAGAAGATCATGGGCAAACGTCAGATCATGATCTTCGAATATCAGAAAGTTTCATGTCGTTCATCATGTACTCATTTCTCCTCCATGTCTCGAGAGAAAAAAAGAAAGGAAAGGCATGGAGACCTATGAGACGCACATGTTCTATAAAGTAAGGTCGAAAGGTTTTGGAGGTTCTAGCTGATGATAGACAATTTCAAGTTGCCCACTCGTAACAATTGTTCCACCTCTCACTGGTTATTGGCTTACTTATTTATGTTACCTTTAGGAAGCTGGACGGATCAAACGTGTGACTTCATACATAGTGGATGTTAGCGATGCTGATGCGTGAGCATGAAATGCACAGTTTGACTAAATGGTCGGTTCTCGCATGATTGAAGGACACATTGATGCTTCTACGTTTGGTCCATGTCATAAACTGATTACGGAATTTGTCGTTATAACTTCCATCTCATTGGGTCATAGTCTGTCATACTGCGATAGTTGTAAGCAGTCCATCATAACCAAAGAACTTATTCTTAAGAGTGGAAAAAAGCACTCTTTGTAGATTAGATATTTTTGAGGTGTAATGAGAGTTGAAGTGGTAAGAGTGAAGAAAAGTTCAACTCTGTCCCATTTCTGTTCAGAAACTGATTTGTCAAACAGAGTTTGAAACAGATAAAAGCCAACCAAAAATACCGCGGAATATTAATCAAGCTTTTGTATAAACTTTAGGTTTGTACATACTTTCAAGAGTGTGAAAGTTGTTTGTGGTAAGGATCACGCTTCATGCAAAAGCACAACTAAACTATAGCCGTTACTTTAGTACAACAATTTCAGGAAGATAATTATAGCTTCAGAGTTTTACCCGATTTTTAAGTGTTTTTTCCCCCAGTTACTTAAGACGAACCTTGATTAGTGCTCTACACAAGACCCAGTGTAAAGAGTCAGATATTCGGGAAATCTCTTAAACTGGTGGTTACATTTAACAAGATTATCTAAATCTATAATTTCAATTTCATCTTTAGTTAAGAGTTTTTTTCACTCAAAATTGACTACATCTCTGGACTATTAGAAAAACAGCGTAGAATTGTGAACTCTTCAGTTTTCCGGTAGTTTTCAATTATTTTTCTTTGTTCCAAGATTTGAAAAACTTGACAGAATCCAAGCTCTCAATCTATGTAGATTTGTTGTAAAACAAGCCAGCAAGCCAAGCAAGCAAGCATATACTTTTGTTTGACTTATCTTGTTAATTCTTGACTTGTATGTCTTGACTATCTTGGCCTAGATATTCCTGCTCCCATCCAAATGAAATCCCAGCTTTTAATGTCTTTTGCGACGTAAAGTGAAATTGTTGTCTTGATCGAGCATTGGACAAACTTTTCTGAAGTCAAAACAATAACAAATTAAAGACTTGTGAGAGGTCTACATTCACATAGTATAAACTTTTTACTAGAGATCTTGCGAACTTGTGGAAGTTAATCACACAGGTTCCTTTTCACATAATCCAATGAGGTCTAAAAAGATTACCAAAAATTCACATGTATTGTCTCATACGACAAAAATACATCATGTTTGCAGTCTGCTATGTATTCCTGGGATTCGACATAAAGGGTTATCTAAATCATCTTTCTCGAAATACTTTACTCCCACCTTGCAAGACATTGTAATTATTTGTAAATATTGATGGAGAAATGGTTACGAATCTATGCCCATACTGAAGATCAGGAAAAAACTATATCCAGTTCTCATTTGCAATTATAAACTGGAGATGTGTATGAAGAACGGAATGAAAGGTCGGAGGACATGAGCCAAAACGGAATATTAGAAGTCAAAGGTTTTTATTCTGTAGCAAGAGGATCACGAAAGCAAACGATATGAAGATGTCAATACATGGCACTGTATCTTCGCGTCTTCTTGCGCAGAATGTAGTTGACTGGTACTGAATTCGAGATTATAATAGAGGTAAACAATACAGATTTCAGTTGAGATTCAGCAACTAACTTGGAAAGTGGTCTTAGGTTGCAAGTACGTAGGGCGACATTTAAAATCCTGTGTGCTTCTTTGGGTCTTAGTTGTCTTTCCATACTTCTATTTCTATCTTCGGTGTTTTTTTTTGTTTTTTATTATCGTAGAAACATCGGTTTCCTATTTCAACCAGTGGGCAGAACAATTTAATGGAAAATGAAGCATCACTTGCATATTGTAATCTCATCGTTAAACGCTTAGAAATCATTGAGGTTTTGGCTCTAAGTCCATTAAAACAAACTTCAAACTGCTAGATAATCTATTCCCTTTAAGGGATTAGCATATATTATCGTATGCAAAGTTGTGGCGGAGCATATCCGAGTGTGGGTTTCAAAATAATATTCGCGTTTGCATCCAACGTACAGTATGACGGCCAAACCACACGACCGGCACCGGCAGTGAACCCTCGCATGTCATTGGCAAGCCAGGTCCCCCCTTTACCAGACGGGAGAGAGTGGCAATTTTACATATCCTAGGTGGCAACAAAATCGACTGCTCCGAACTACCAGGCACTTACGCCTGGAAATCCGGTGTTTTCGGAAATTATCGACTCCTCTCTTATTTCTGCGCCTTCTTGGGTTACTCTTCCAAGGAGTTAATCCCATTGCATTGCAATTGATAGAGACAATTCTCTCTTTTCACTCCGAAATCACTACCAGCAGTGTGGTAGAGGTTACGGGATTGTCTCCAGCTGGCCGACTGACGCCTAGGAAAACCAGGTTTTCTTCTAGCCAGGAGCTTATGACCGGCAGCGGTTAAGAGGACTGTGCAGCGTGTATTTTTTCTGGGAAGCAAAGTAAACGAGGGGAGCGTCCACACCACAAGGTCGGAGAGCAGGTGAAGTCCGAATTAACCTGCCCTAGGAGTGGTGAAAGAACTAGATCTGGGCAAGATGTTCGGAATGGCGGGAAATATCAGATGCATTCGTGTGACTCACGGTCCACTCTGTAACTCCTGATTCCCACAGTCCGCGCTCTGCATCTTCCGATTCCAACAGTCTGTTGACAGATCATCTTGTCACCCGTACGAGATACGAGGGCCGAATGATTAGGGGAATAAAAACATACTCCAGCTCAAGATAGATTCTCTCTTGAAGAGGCCAAATCTACTGCCAAAATTGAGCGCATTGAATAGATCCGAGATCGATCCTTGCTTTCAGCGAATCTCAACAGAAGAGATGTCATCGCAGTCTATCCTGCCGGTGGTGGTTTTGACGTTCTATCCACTCACTGTTCCTGATCAGGGCGGTTTTGACATCCCCTGCCGCATGATCTGCCTCATCCGGCCGAAAACGAACTTCAGATAATGCCCATCACGAAGGGGAACCCAAATATTTGGGTACAGGGACAGCGAAGCCCGGAGATAGATCTGGATATGAGATACCTTCGGCGGGTGGGCGGTGATCAGCTGTGCTTGCCGTGCGCTAGAACGGATGAGCGTGGCGGGAATGGCGGATGCTGACTCGCACAATTAGATGCAAAACTTGTCATCAACGCTAGCTTGCTCCCAGCTCGTCCTACGGACCGCGGACCGGGAGCGCGCTCGTGGCGAGAACAAGTGGCGAGGTGAGGATGAAGTTGCCGAGCCGACTCGGGTGGACGGCTCTTGGAACAGATTCGACTGGCAGACCATCGCGAAGTGCCTTGTGCGCTCGTTGGTTTTTCCCACTTGAAAATTACCTACAGCTCCGCTGCAGTTTTTTTCGGGACACTTCTTGTGGACGGGAGCAGTTTTGATGCCGTCTTGTCAGAGGAGGAAAAGCTGTTTGTAATGGAAGAAAATAAGTGAAGCGGCGGCAAAAGGGAGACCGAGGAGCAGAAACGACGAAAAGAATGATACTGCGAGAAGGTCAAGCGAGTTCGGGGATGGACCAGTGGCCTACAAGTTGTCTCGTTGTGATGCCTCGAAGTTAGAGATATCGGAGGACTTAGTCCTTGTCTCAATCTAATGAGGGCTCACCGGTTGTGTCCGGACTTTGAATGAACCGAGGCGGGCGGGCCCTCCTGGGGGATCAAGTCTGTCTGCTTACAGATGTGATGTTCGATGCTTGATGTTTTGTTGGTTCAATCAATCTGCGTGGCGAAGTGCTCACCGCAGCCCCAGCTGTATATCTGTCCTCCTAGTTCGCCAGGAATGCCACGTTTGCTGCTGGGCGGCTTACCAATCGAAAGCAGCTGCTTTCATCGAGCTTTAATTAGCTTCGGATCCATGTGCGACCAAGCAACCGGGAGCGGAACACCCTGTGCTATCCGATTCCGAAAAGCAGCTGTAGTGTTCGAATTTCTATCCTGGGCGATCTACAATTGTATTCTTTTGCTTTCCCGACACCGGAAACGGGTTTGGTGGGAACCTCGATACCGGCGGTTTGAGCACTTAGAATCCGCTGTCTTGATCCAGATCACTCCAACTTTCGAGGCATACGTGTGCGGACCAGCGGGTCAGCTTACGGCAGACATTGTTGGAAAACAAAGTTTCTAAGATTGTGGGATTGCTCATGCTCCTGATGCGAGTTCTGAAGCGTGGAGGTCATAAGATGTAGTAGGTGTCCAAGCGTAGCTACGGGACGTCTTATCGTTGCCGGTTGCATTATAGTTTTGCTTCAATTGCATTTTTTTCGAGCGAAGTTGTGTAGTAGACATAGCCGTAGCTCGGGTGAGAGGCGAGTTTCTACAACAAGGTGTTTGCATTCTCAGTAGCTATCCATCTAAATATGATCGATCAGAATTTCTCGGGCCGCTGATAGTGCGACGGTTGAAGATTGTTTTAACTCAATCAAGATGATCCCTAATGGATGAAGAATAGTGGGTGTAGAGAAAGAAGCACTAAATAATTTGAAGATGCAGGTGACGTCCCATGCTTGTTCATAGGTCTACGATAGTAATTATATAACGTTCGCGCCTTGTTGGTAGAGAGGAAATGTAGATGGAATCTAGATATAATTTCAGCCTCAATGTAGTCTCGTGGATTCGGCGTTCCTTTCTGAATCACCGAGCATTTGACTGCAGAGTTGTTTCCCCAGTTTTATAGAACACGAACCCGCAACTTCGTCCCTCCCACAGGATCCAATGGAGGACCCTTTCTGCAATATTCACGAGTTGCAGTACCCGAAAAGACATGAGAAAAAAGTGTCACATGCCTCCGCCCAGACGCTCCTGTCCAAGCTGCAGTCGTCTCGGTTGATTGTACTAGCGTACAAAATCTAAAGGTCCATTGAGAAAGACGAACTATACGGCATCCAGAAGTATTGCCATTGAATTATAGTTCTGAATCCCCGTCTCCTGAACGCCACAAAGATGACATCTTGACCTCTGATGCTCACGAAGTGGGATGGTTGTTGATTTCTACTTTTGAACAAACACATCACACTGATCGAATCTTTTTTAGGTTTATGTGCAGAAGTTGGGACATTCGGGGTGGCTCATTGACTACAATCTGGCAGCCTAGCCGTCTTACTTTTCGAGGAAAGTAGAATCAGCTTTTCTGAATCCTGAGCTTGTTCTTCAGATTTAGGGTTGAATAAACCAGTCCATGCAGTCTCGCTTGCACGGTCTCATAGGGATTTGGACAAATTCTAAGAGGGCTCAATCTGGACAAGGCACTGCCCAAGTTTAAGTGAGTCTATGACGTAGACGACGAGCCTCGCTTTCTGCTTACTGGTTGTCCTCGACTTTTACGAATGTATCTACGCTATAGCTTAAGAATCGGAATAAAGGCCAAGTCGGAACGCCAGCTTCAGAGGTATTCTTTAATACAGTAGATAGATGTTGTTCTGTTAGGAAACAAGAGAGTAAAGTCAGATCGTCCTTTCCAGTGTGATGAACTGCACTAGCTCATGAACTTGAGATGGCACAAGGCGTTGTTCCAGAATTCATCTTCAGCGTTTCACATAGTGTCATATGAAAGGTGGCGACGGTTTTTAAGGGAATTTCAAGGGCTTTCAAGAAGTGAACTTGATTGTACGTAAATTGTGCACATTGAGTAAATAGACATGTGAAGAATGGTCTTTCAAACTGTGCAGGAAGGGATAGCAGATATGATTGGCACGGTCTGCAGCAAGTCGTGAATACCTCATCGTGGCTTCCAATGAACTGATCTAAATTTTCCAAGTTTCTTGGCGGTAAGTTTACTGGGTAAAGTTTACTTGGCGATTGGTCGGTTACTTTCCAGAGGCAACTGAATTCCCACCTGCAGTCGATATTCTTCTCTTTGTCAGAACGTTGAACAGATTGGATTTGTGGCGGTAGGACACAATTAAAATTTTAAACCCTGAAACCTTTTCTTTTCCTTAGCTCGCTTGCCGTGCCACAAATCATGTTTATTTATCTCTGCAACGAGGGATACACTTAGATCCAACTAACACTGATCTCTTGATTTCGGAATTTGTGGATGAATTTGTTTATCAAAAGTTGTATATATGCCGATCGAAGGTTATGGTTTATCAACTGTGACGGGAGCCCATCGCATTGTATTTCACGGACGCACTACGTCTTTCTTAGCAGTGAGTGGATTCGTCAGTTAGGTTTGAATAGATCTATTTTAAACGTTGAAGTCAATGAAGACTGATTAAGACTATTTGAGTAACTATGAAGCTTAAATCTCCACAAGCTGTAAGCTTTCAGCATCTGTGAGTTATTTACAGCCTGAAGGAACAAAACACTTTCACCACAAAGACAATACCATCACTTGAGGGCTCGTAACGAGGTGATAGATATAAAGAAGTGAAAGTTATGATGGTGGATTTCATCCATTGTTTATCTCAGGTTCTAGAAGGTCCTCTATTGAATAAAAACACATTAGTTTCACCTGCTCTCATATTCATCATGTCTCGAAAATGTTGTCGACTACAGAAAATCATCAGAGAAACCTGGTCATTGCACGTAACTAAAATTCGATGGTTGTGGGCTTTGGCATATGCAAAGTGGCACTACATTATGATCATCGAGTGGTCAAATAGTGGACTCGTTTCAGCGCACTGCTACGGCCGCCGTAAGGAAAGACCTGATCAACGGAGAAATAGACCTGTCGGATTGGCATCTTTACAAGCGCTGGCATCCCAACTTAGAGCCTCACTCAGATGGCTCTCGAATTGCCGATTTTCTCCTTTCGACAGCATACTTTTGTAATTCTCTGATGGCTCCGATCGACCTGCCGCCGCTGTTTTTTCATAAGAACCTGCCGTGTGTATGGACAGTATCGACCTTAAAGAACAGGATGGGGACAAATGGCATGCGTTAGTGGATTCTTTGAGCAGATCCTTGGAGCACCTTACCCGAACAGCTGAAGGTTAGAGCTGTAGAAACAGTAGTATTATATCGTTTTTTACAAGTCCGTGGCTTGTGCGAGATCCATTGTTGACGACTGGAAACAGTGCATCTCAAAGATGCGGAGTTCTTCTCAGATCTCTTAAAGTCCTCTTTTTATCTGCTTCAAGGAGCACTTTAAGAGAGGAGCAACAAAGCTACAATTGCTCAATTCGGTTGGACTTTCTTCCGAGTGATTCTTCATACGGCGAGAATGGGAGTAGAGTCGGTAGAGTACTTGAAATAGTCTACATGGACAGGTGTATTAAAATACCGTTCGAAATTGACGAGGATCCGACCGCGTGCTCAACGGGGCCCTGGACGACTGCCAATTGTACGTAGACGGATGTACAGAGGTACCGATCTGCAAGTAAGGGTGAAAAGTCGGGTGCTAGGGGGAACTCATGAGGTAAGGATTGGCATGCATGCCCCAATCAAGTCGGAGGGAGACTAGTCCCCATGTCCGGTTGTTTGGAGTGATGCGGAGAAGATCCTGGGGGAGCTTAAAAGTAAAGGACATCGCAGCGTTTTGTCGACCTGATCTAGCGGCTGGGACCCTCTTCCGTTATCGGGGGTGTACCTGCTCCCAACCCACGGCAGTGTGGGGTGGAACGTGAAGCTAGTCTGTAGGAGAAGGCCTAAGCATCGGCTTTTCGAGGCGGCGTTTCTTTGTCGAGAAGCTGGCCTCATCAAGTTCGACAGTTGTACATAACACGTCACGCCCCGCACGCGAGATGGCTCCGTCACTAGATGTCATGGCCAAACACGCAAGCACGCCTTCTACCACATCAGCAAAGCTTTCGTCATGAGATCAACAGGTCGATCCAGTCGGCAGTCAGCGAAATGGAATGCGGGAAACACCAACAGCATTCGATCCAAAAGAGGGAAGACACGAGTGATCCCGATATACGGTTGGTAGTCACACTTACGAAACCCACTACTGCGCGGACTTCAATGGGCGCTGGATTTTTGTCCTTTCAGGTCTGTAAGCCCCTCCTTTCCCCACTGCTTGTCTCCTGCCCACGTACGAGCTCCATGAATTTACACTTTTCACCGCTGCCACACTGCCCTTGCTTGCATTGAGCTGCCTCTCCTGCTGCTGTTGCATAACTGTCCAAATGTGTGGACTGGACCAACTGGAATTCGCCACAGGAAAAGGAGATACAATAAAGACAGCACACAAGTTGATTCCCTGGACTCTACCCCCACACTTCGACGAAAGCTTTCAACCAATTCACCTGTCGTTGACTGAACAGAACCTCCTTGCCCACATGAGCAGTGCCTCGCATCCTTCGCCGCTGCCTGTGTGTCGCAGGGTGCTCCCGAGTTACGGTCACTCTACCGACTTTGCAATTATGCTGCGAGACCTCACCATCATCAGCACACGTCCTGTGCAGCAGCCGCCTCAGTCCATTCATCGTTCTCATCGTTCTACTGTTTGCCCTATGATATTTTAGAAATTTGTTTAAAATATTCCAACTGGGAGATTGCTCCTCAGATGCGACTAAATTTGGACGCAGTGTGTCAGAGTTCCGGATTACAAACCATAGGCCAATGGCGCTTATGGCCCGACCTAGGAGGTGGGAACATACAGTTAGCATGGGCGGAGCTGGCAGCAGATCGTGTCATGGAGTAAGAAGCGATTTCGACAGTTGCACTTTGCAATCAAGGCGAAGGACGTGCCAATCGTCTTCAGAGTCACTGAGTTGCAGCATATAGAGATAGTTTACATAGTATGCTACCACCACTCACGCCAACATTTCACGAGCTTTGATTTTGTGCTTGAATTGGATGTTGAGTAGTTCTATCTCGGAATCCGTAAAAGTTGACTCAAAACGAAACGTACAGCACTGATTCTGAGACATTTGGCTATCTGATAAATTGTTCAGAAAGGGGCAAAAACCAATCATGATCTTCACATTTAATCGGTACTTTGTGTAGGGAGGAGGGGTCATCCTGGCGACGGTAAGACGTTTTAATCAATCAGGCTTCTTTCAAAGTGGCCAATTCCATTTTCAGTGGATTATCTCCTGCAACTCAGGCCACGCACACCGCAGGACCAGCTGAGATGTATGTTCAACGTTGGACCGATTACTAGTCTATCTACAATGTATCCACGTAGAAATGCGTACGTGGTGATACGGGATCGAGAGATTTTTCAATAAGAGAAGCCATATCTGGCTGATACTTTAGAATATATGACGTTGTGGCCTCTACGAAGGTGGCTGTTTCACACATAGTATAAGGCTGAGTAAGTTATTACGGATTTTGCATGCGAGTCCGTGAAGTTTCAGTGAGTTGCCCTTCAAGCTACTCGATCTACGCCGATATTTTATATGAGTAACGCCTACATTGGTCCCCGTGTGAAAGACCTGAGCGACGAGGTCCCATAAACCCCACTGAACCTGAGGAGGACCAAGTTTTTGCGGGACTTCGGCGGAATGAACATGCATTTACCAAAATATTCTTGGTCTTTCACACCAAGGTTTTTTTCTCTTGAAATATATAACAGTAATCACATATTTCATCCTCGATAGCTGCTCCCAACTTGCAGTACCATTCGTGAATCATAATCTTCCCCGAGATACACTTGGTCGCTGCTTTGTCATGCTCTTAAAAGTATCTGTGGACTCAGCAACGTCAACACATGGCGCTGTAAGAACTATGGAAAATCTGAAATCAACATGGCTTTAACAACTAAGCCACCGCACTGCTTTCATTCCTCATGCAGAACCTTGTTTGATGTCAGTGACCGAGTTTGCCCTCCACGCCGTGAGTCACAGCCACATTATATTGAGTAAAGTCGATGTTAAGCTTTTTCGTCATATGTACATCGTCATTGTCCATTTTCTCATCATCTATTTCATTGTCTGACTGTATTGCCTCCATCCAGTTGACTCTTTCACATGTGCCTGCGTTGCGACAAACCTGATAGCGTAGGACCCGGCGCCCAGCTGCGAGCGAAATCTGGAGTCTTCAAATCGCCAAGAGATAAGACAATTGCTCGTAAAGTGACTAGTAGAACCCGTTCTTGTCCATCTTCTTTGTCAATGGACACACAAAGCCTTTGGTAAGAGAGTTTAATACGCTTCCAACTGGAAATTGTCACTGAGTAATTTGGGATGCAGAGAGAACAAGACAGTTCAATGCTATGGACCATGTTTGACTTTTTCGGTGAGGTCCTTGAGAGATACGTTTTCTTTCTTATTCAAACTCGATAAATTGCAGCCCATGATTTATACCGTCGAGGTACCGTCATTTCTAAACACAAAGAGGTTTGGATAGAGCTGGATTGACTTTCATAAGGCCCTCTCAGCTTATGTCCTTTTAGCAGGTGATAGTCAATTCATATCTTGCTTGACCTCTGACCTGCGTAGAACTTGTGACAGCAATCAACATTCAACGTGAAACTCGTGATGAATCGAATATACATCCCGGGTTCGTAATTGGGTCGAAGTTCACAGTTGTGTAAGTGCATGAGCGAAAAATGAGACACAATCGAATCGATTTCGTTGTAATTATTATCCTTGAGAGTTGACTTCCAGATTCCTCGAGAATGGTATTGGTCCTTTCTACAACTGAAACATTTCCCACGAGGAGGTACGGTGACAGTTGGAGTCTAGTTTTATTTGCATTAAAGTTGTAACCAACAACTAGCTTGCTAGTGCACGCTGTGCGGGTCCTGACCTTAGGTGGTAATCGTGTCGATCGAAGTCAGTGAATGTCAATGTCTAGGCATTCATCCAATCCATTGCAGGCATCCATTTCTAAACTGGAGGAACTGAACCTACTTCACAGTCAACTAAGCAAGGTATCCTATCTCCACTTCGGAATCCGATCTCGTCCACGACTGATAGCTTCCATTGTCAGCCGTGGAAGGAACACTTAGTCCACTACGACATGCAGTATGATACTCGGGAAGGAAAGAACAACTCGCGAATGGAACGCATAATGGATTCCTGGCCCTTGTGTCTAGATTCTCCGAGCATATAAAGTACGAGGTCCTTCGTAAACATTGAAGTTATTCTAGCTTGACTAAATCTCAACAAGTCAAACGAAAAACGGACATCAGTTGTTCATAGAAAATGTACTGTTGCAATGCCCATTTAGATATCACTGGAACTTCAGTCCAATCACCGTGCGATTGTCAACAAATTTGAAGAGAAAGAAGTTGTCAACGTTATCATACTCCGATGCTTAGGGGAGAGGAGGCAACTGATGAGTTTGTGTTTCTTCGGGTCTCCGAGAACTCCAAGGTCTGGCAATGCAATTGCTAGCCTGCCATTGTTCACTACCTCAAAATTAAATGTGTGATTTCAACAATTCCACGGAAATCTAAATACCAATCAATAGATGTAAGTCTATGTATACCGTCCTCCAGTTTATCTGTTGGAGACAAGTCTCCAGTCTTTCAGATCGCCGAGTAGAGCACCATTATAAGCTCAGACACGACCGGCCTATCTTACAGATACTCTCACCATATTATTGGATGGCCAAAACCTTTACTTCAGTCTGCTAATGTGGCCTTTTCTGCCTCTTATTGAGCACGTCTAAATGTGCTTCTAAGGTATCTGCACCAGTTAATTTGTTTAATACTTCTACACATCAACTGCCTATATGTTCAAATTCTTCATTTAAAATTTTGCTTGATCGAACGCAGAGCAGTCAACTGGATTGAACCTAATGATTGTATGCGATCGGAGGGAACTTGCATTGACATGGATTCTCGAGGTTAACAGTTTCGCTAATATGTACCTGAAAATTCTGACATGTGTTAGATGTTCTAGTTGTGGCTGTCATTCTGATGATCCCGTCCTCCACTTATCGTGTATATCCTTAAACTCGGTAGACTGTGTCAACTAAAACTGTTGACTTGGCATACACAAGGTACAGGTACAGATTTGCAGCACAAAAACGACTCCTGAATATTGGACTCGTTCTTCACGAGATATAGACGAGAATCAACATTTATTTGTTCAGCTATCCACGAGGAGCTGGCATGTAAACGAAGAAGAGATTCTTCAGGTAAACATTGTGTTTTGTTGACCTTTTGGTCCTCCAGTTTATATGCACAGGAGACTTTCTCATACTTTTTCTGATAAGGACTGTCGGAAGGAAAACATGCACAATCCGTACAAAATAGATAGACGCAACATCAAGGTGGCAGTATCATGCTTACCGCCGCTTGAAAACTGGACTAAATTTAAAAGCGACCAACAGGTTTGTGAAGGCTTGCCTCCTTCATCCGGAGGAACTTTTTCCAAAATAAGAAGTGTTTCAGGTCAATATAATCACTTTGGACACTTTTGGAAGCACACGGAGAATTACAACTTTGTGTCACTGCACGAGGTTGGCTATGATATCCAGCAGAGCCAGGAGCCTTAGACAGCAACGGATACCCTTCATATAAACATGATTCGGACATTCCAGCAGCCGACCCCACATAAGCCTCCACCATCACAGTTTCTGGGCATTGATATGTCCTTGCACTTGATTCCAAAACAAAAACGGACCGGGTAAATAATAAATCATGTTGTGAATTGCCAGGTGATATCGTAGTTGACTCTGTATCCTTTCGTAAAAATCAGGATTGAATCACCCGCATGCTCATAGAGAAAGCGTTCGATGAGCGATATCATCGACCTTGATTCGCAGAAATAACTATAGGGAGTCCGTTGCTTTTACAGAACAACCCACTGTCGGAGGCCTGTAGTCTCCATAAATCTCTCTTGTTTGTACAATGACACAGGAAGAAAGACACCAAGTAATAGAGCAAAAAGGGGGAAACCCCTATGCAGTTGTACATGGATGAATCCAAAGATGCCAAGATAGAGCTAGCCCCTAGTAGCATCATGATGAAAATATGTTCTGATGCATATATGTATTTCAGTGCTCTATGTACACGATGAATACATTTTGACTAGCATGGATTGTAGAAAGAGATTCACACTTTTTTTGATTTTTGCTCAAGTGTCTAGAATTTCACGGCTATGCCTTTGTATAACTCCCACGTAAAAACGAGTTGAATCCCTATATATAGTGTTATATGTAGTCCTTGATTGTTAACGCTACGCTTGGAGTTGGAACACCGTACGTTGAATCATTATCTTTGTACATCATACGCAGAAAAACACTCATATTTACAAACAATGCAATCTGCACGTATCGAGAACTTGAAAGAACTCTGAATAAATGACTAACAACTAGTAGTAATCATTTTATGCATTTCGCTTGAAATGCAATCTACTTGACTGTTATGGAAAATTGAAGACTCAAGGCCTGCCCGAGGAGTTTCTAGGAAAATTCTTGACAATACCTTCTTTTGGTACTGGTGGACTGCAGTGTGTGGGACGGGCTAAATTGCGTAATTGTGTCCGGTAATATCGTAGTACTAGATGCGGGAAAATAATTTAAGATACGAGAAGATTTGTAATTATTTCAGCCCGAGTGTTAACAATTTGATTTGATTTGAGTCCCCGTATAACACACTGTAACACCGAAAGGTTTCATGGTGACTGGACAAACAGGTGTCGAGTTGGAACTCAGGGTTATTGAGCTGTAAAGGTGGAGGAGACAAACAGATGCTGAGTTGTATACGTACATGATGCGGTGTACCTACAGAGTGCTGGCTCCCTCGCCAGCATACCGCGCGCCGCCCATGTTGGTAGCCCACAACTGATACACTTTGAACTAGCGCGTGTGCGCGCCAGTTCCAAACGTTGCAGTTTGAAAACTGCTCGATCATATTCAGTCGAGACCTTCAAGCACATTAGGAAGAGATCCTTTTGTGTCAAGCTCCCCAACGATTTGACCTTCGTATTCACTTGCCCGCGTGCAAGAACAGCAGATTCGGAACGAGATTCCGCAACTGTGTTGATGTATGAAGAAGGCCTAGTACAGAAATGGTTCGTTCCTTCTCCCCGCCCTCCGGGCCACCACTGTAACATCAAAAATTAGTACAGGAAGACGGTTTAGGAATTTGTTATTTTGTTTTGGAAAGAAAGTCTCACAACGCACAATCTCATATGTGAGCCCGAACTGAATCAAGCAAGATGAAGCTAGTCGTACACGAGAGACATAGTTCAGAGGCATCGAATTCTCAACAAGAACATCATCCCAGCATCTATGCTGTAAGACGAATCGCCCTTTGCAGTTAGTATCAAAGTGAATTCTGTGTAATGTTCTTCATTATAGAGTAAGGTTTTTGTGATACTTGTGAGCGAATTATGTGATGGAAAAGCATATGAACGTTGTTCGAGAGTTGACAATACATTTAAGCGCAAAGCTCTCTATTTACTGTTGACATTCGAAGCTTTTTTTGGACAAAAGGAAACTGTTGTCTGAAGAAGACCAAAGATGTACAAGTTGCAAACATGAAGCCATATGTGTTAAAGCGGCTGAATGATTCTTATCCAGTATCTGCAAGCGGAACACTATGTCTTCTGGAGGACTTTACGAGGGTTCACAAGAGAAAACTATAGTCCTCTCTCATGGTGGATAATTTCATTTCTAAGGTTGGACCTCTACTCTCAGATTTGTAGCTGAAAAAAGTATCTGGTATACACGTGTTACGAAACACTGGGAGACAAACGTCGCATAATATGACATTAGTATAACGTCTTGATTTGACGTTACTGCGTTTCTTCGAATATGACGTTTACCAGAACTGCGACATGTTCATATTTAAAATTGTTCCAATGAAGAAGTCAGTTTCTTGATCTTCCACAACTTCCGTCGTCATGAATGTGTGAAGTTATGAAGGGATTTAGTAGTTCGGGGAAAAAGAGTGTAATCTGTCCGCTTTAAGGTGAAATTATGCCAACTTCGAACCCCATCAAAACGTTCAGTGAACGATACAGATGTGAGTGTATCTCAAAGAGTGAGCCTCGTCTCGGTGCGCTTGATCATACTATTCTGCCACTTGCTCAGCCTCTTTCTGTGTGCGGCCGACACGGCTTTCTGGATACATTCTTCGTTGATGTTACTCATGTCTTAAGAACTTCACCCTCTTACTAGCTGCTTGTATATTGTCTCTCTTTGGCAGGCATTTTACATTTTCAATGGAATTTTTCTGGAGGAGATCACCCAAGATTTCCTGATCTATGACCTGGAGAGCTGACCTGGCAATTCTTATCAGTGAAGTCGATCTAAAAGACATGCGCAGTACTGTACTTGAGACCATGGTGCTTCCATGCAACTTCCTGTTCAAGTACGTCCCTCGTGAGCGCTCTCTACAGTTTGAATCAGATATCGAAGGTTCTGAATAATAGTGATAACTCACACACAGCAGTTGTGCAAAAATGCGATCTTTTTGGGCCTCCTAAGTAGCCGGGAGAATAGTATTATAATTTTACAATTTACATACGGTCTACTGTACCGCGTAGTGAAGTGTACCTTGTCGACGCTGAACAAAGTCAACTCTCTTCATCTTGGACACTGCACGAGTTCACCCGCTGATGTTTCCGATATAGGGTATGGAAAACGAAAGACCTTGTCCGAGCAAGCATTCACTTATATAATGTCGAAACTTTTGACTTCCCATTATGCCTAAGTAATTGATCAATCGTCCGATACTTTGTTCAATGGCTTTTAAGGTTCAAGCACTGTCGAACATAGAGAACAATCTGTAGGCTTTGCTCAAAGAAAAGTAGCTCACAGGTGGCGACTACCGCAGTCAGTGGCTGTGGCATACAACCTACTTGCTCCTTCTTTGATTGGTAGTCTTTCGTAGAGTAAACAAGATTCACATCTTTGTAGATCCAAGATCTTAAAACAAAACTTCTGTCTAGTAGTCCCGACATCCTCAACATCGTCTGTCCTCAAGTGACGATCATAATTCGTCTTGAGAACCGACTTCAACTCTCAGAATCGAGCCGAAAAGAAGGCCCGACTCTTGCATTGCGGAAAGAGTTCGAGATTTCGGTGTATTACGTTGTGCCGATGGACTCAGTCTAATAGGGATCATTACGATAGTGGAGACGAAGCATCTCTGCGAGGAGCTTGTTTGAACTGGCAATGACCTCTTGATTGGTTGAAGTGAAAGGAACGCATTCCATTTACATGTGATCATTACAACCAGGGGCTTGATGTGTTAATATTTTAATGTATGTCGTCATACATTCTCCACGTTGTGGCACTTCTGAACAATATGCAAATCCGTACATAGATACATGACTATCTTCACGCATAGATTTGGTCGGAAATCTTTCCAAGACCTGAACGTAGTACACTTCGTACATGAGTGACGTCACACTGCTTACGGAACGTACTGCAGACATGGGAAGACTGCGGGCAGTGCCTGCGGTCTATGTTAAACATCATTCTCTAAGAACCATTCAACATGGTGCGCAAGTCAATCCATTCCAGGGATGTTTGACTGAAAGCCTTAAATGAACATATAGATCCACACGCACAGACCGACAGTCCTTGGGGTACGGGGTCTGTGCCCGAATTATAAGACAAGTCAATAAATTGAAGGTCTTTCGTTACCTGCGGATCCCACGTTGACTAAAATGAATTGATTTGGTAAAAGAAGTATATAAACACACACATACAGACATTCCAAGACTGACAGTCCTTAGGATAAGCGGGTTATGACCGAAAGAATAAAATGTGGCAGTAAATTGAAGTTCTATCGATCAGATGGTAAAAGCAGTTATTTCAATGTATGTGTTTACTGCCTGAAGCAATAGAAGTAAAAAATAGATGCTCACCGACAGAAGCAAGTATTTTTCGTGCAAAACGAGCAACATTCAGCGAATCCCCTACTCACAAACCGAAAGAGTGGATTAAGTTGGTACAGCAGGGTTACTAAGAAGGTAAGTGCAAGTGTACATCCTATCAGTGCTCAAGGGGAATCCTCAGCAATGATCACGGAGGAACCTCGCATACTTTTGAAATTCCTCTTTAGAATTCGCGATAATCTTAGCGGTTTTAATGTTGACCCTTCCAGCCACAACTCCAAGCGTGATTGCTATTACATATGTTTTCTTAACTAGAAAAAACCTTATTGATGTATATATATAGTATATTTACGTACGTACTGAAGAATTACATCCTAGCCCACAGTGACTGACCCGTGCGGGATCTTTTAAGATCCTCAAATCTTCGTAGATATGACCACTTTGCAGTGAATCCCAGATGCTTAAAGAAAAGGAAACTGACGAAAAATACCTACTGCGGATACAGAGCTATGAAGAGATTTAAGCTTTGCAGGATGCAAAGAACGTAAGAGACAGAGCCGTCTTATTAAATCCCAGGATTCCACCTCGCAATATGCTTCTCCAACTACCATACAGATTGTGACAGTGCCCCCCAAGAACCTTTACCAAGATTGAGTAGAATGTTCTTGATAAAAGCAACTGTAGTGTTCTGTGTCAGTAATATTGACAGTTCTTCGGATACCCCAAGAGCCGGTGTTAACTTAGTCCTAAGATCTGTCATCAATGCCTTTGGATACAACTTTGCCTCATATAATGCTATACGTTCTGATTCAAGATCACAAAAGAGTCGTTCTGAAAACCCTTTTATCGGGCACATTGTCCATAATAGATCAGTTTGTAGTTGTATTTTGAAGAGTTCAATGCACTTGTACACTGAATTCAAACTTCACTTGCCTGAGATCCAGATACAATGACTGCATAGGATTTGATATACAATATCCAAGGTAGGTTTCATAATACACACATACAATGAAAAATGCAATGAAAAATGGTCAGCACCCTCTGAAAGTATGCTTAAGTCAGATTAGCTGACAGAACCTAAACCAATGCAAGCGAATGTCACTTCGCTCCTCTGAACTGGCAGAGATTTTCCCCGAAGTGTTAACTCAGCTTGCCTTTCAGAGCTCCAACAGTTGGAGTAGTTGGAGGTTTACGTTTGCTGATTCGAAGAACTAATTTCAGTGATCCCATGAAAGCAAAAGATGCGCAGAAATCGCACCAACCTGAGCAAAAGTCCTTGACCTGAAATTTACAAAGGGTGCCAGCACAGCCGAAGCCATCAGAGCTTAGTTACTTCATCATATGTTGAGTTGGAGGAGCTCGTACAACTGTCCCATCCCGGGGCTCGATAAGTCCATCCCTTTTATCCATCTCCATTTTGTGCTGAGTCTGCAGATAACGATACGGAGCACTGAAGGTCATAAACTACAAGTGAAAAAGTTTCTCTGAAAGACAACAGGAGATAGATACAAGAGCACATGCCTCCGTTAAAATGATTACGTTCAAGTGAAAGAAACACTGGTGGCCAAGTGTTGCCCTCCATTTTGAAGAATGCAATAGACATTCACCTTGATTCTGGTGTAATAATCCCGTACAAGTTGGTGATGTCATCTAATGGGGACACTAACTTGTACTTGAGGTGTTGGACATATGAAGTAAAAATCTCCTAAGTTTTGTTTCGTAGAATCCCATCGGAATTGACCAAACTTCAGGGTGTATTTTCAATCCAGATGTATAGGGATCCAAGAAACACTGCTTACACAACGGCTCGAGTACACAAGATAATGCGAGATTACAATCTACGAGCCTAACTACAGCAATTTATAAGAACACGAAGTTTATTCTGTGGTATTTGCCTCTCGTAGACTGAAGGCTATTGGCAGAGCATTGAGGAAATTGTCTTACCTGCATACATGCACATACGCTGCACAGGGTTCAAGCAGAAAGCATGAAGATGTCAGAATCATGTCATTCTTCGAACAGCCCATCAATAGATTACTTGAAACTATCATAACAACCACAAAAGTTTACCATAACATGCAGTCATAGTTTCTCGTCTGTAGACGGATAAACATTCTCAAATCCTCTCATTTTGAATTCAGTAGAGCACCCCCTATTCAGATATGAGCAGCACCTCGACCACGTATAAATAAAGAGTGCCACTGCTTTATATTCTTGCAACTGTGACCAGATCCCAGCTCAGGTAAGCTAAAGTTCCTTCTCCAGAGATCCATATCACTGACACATTACTAAATCAATATGATGCTACAGTGATTTCAAGGATTTCCCCTACTAAGGCCAATACTTATGCCCATTCCTGAAGACAAAAAGACATTCACTTGCGGTACAAAAAACTGCAGAGTGATGTGTCATTGTACCTGCAGTATGCAATATCTGCTACTCTGTCTGTGATAAGGGCTGCTTCATCAATGAGAGGTATATCTGTCAAGCACGCAACTATCGAGCATATGCAATTAAGATACTGCAAGACGAACATCGTTCCCTGCATTCCAAACAAAGTTTCTCATGAAAATGAGTCGAACAACTACAACCATACTGAACTGACTAATATCCCAAGATATAACTTCAATGGTTGTCATCATGAGCCTTAATCACAAAAATAAAACTACGAGGGCTTAAGAGGGTGAAGGAGAATACAATTATGCAGTTATCGCATTTTGTGTTTTGAATCCGAAGTTCATCCTGTAACATGAATCGTGTAGTAGCTACAGATAAAGTGAAGCAACAGCAAACCTGCAAACCATAACCAGAAGTTAAGTTAGCAATCCTTAACTAAACCATCAGTGAGTTAGTCGATTATTGATCAGCTATTGATAACGTGAATCTGTCTCAGGCAAGAAATCATATTCATTGTAAGTTCCGATAGTTTTAGTGATGGACCAGATCGCGCAACATTTATTGCAACTTAAAAATGTAAGGAGAAAAAACCACAACCCACTACTAACTACACTGCCATGTGTTTGAAACACTAGGGCCAATCCTTGATCATGCAGCATTTCTTAGAACTGTCAGTAGTTTAATCAATGTAACACCACTTGGTTTCAATGCATAGACTTCCAGGAGACCAGAAAGATGAGAGATTCGTCCTTCGTTCTTCGATATGAAAGCAACAGCAATTAACATGTGTATTCATTAGTATTCATTCAATACTAGTGCTTCAGCATGTTCCGACACAGAGAGAGGTTGGAAGTTACTGGTTCACCTCAGTCACTGCGCAAAACTTTGGACATTTAGATTCGCCGCACGAACCACTACAGGGCATGGAACCCTGACAGCATGTGAACCTAAAACATCAGAGAGCATTAGATGTATCCACACAAAAAATGTAATCAGCCACGAAATTAAAGATGGAGCGTGCATTGTTCGAGGACATTACCTAGACCAGTCTCCGTGTAAAGCTCGACCACGCAGCTGATACGCTGCACAATAAGGGCTGCATATTCATGGAGTTTAGTACCTACACTTGATTAGAAGAAAAGCGGAGTGGCAAATGGAGGTAGAACTATGTTTTAACAGGTAAGAGAAACTTTTCCATGATAAGAGGTTTGCTATAGGATCCAGGTCATTCACTTGCGGGCCTGGCTTGGAAGGGTTGCATGTTTGGGATATCTAGAAGTAGTTCTCCTTCAGCTGATTGAACTCAAAGTAAGCACGGGGCACAGTAATGCTGATAGCAGTGAATGAAGAAGAATATTGGTAACTTACCATAAAACACTGTAGCAGCAATCTGTCGAAGACATGCCAAGCCCACACATCCAAACGCGTTCAGAACCGACTTCATCTCTGAGATATTGTGATCGCACATGGCTAGAGTAATGCCTCCCTCATCATAAAGGCTACTTTTTCGCAACGGCACCCACTCCCTTCCAACCCCTTTCCGTGCTCGTGCAGGATAGGAAAAAGAATTGCACCATCGTAGTCAATTCACATCAAATGTCGGCTTGATAGATCAAGCTGGCCTATCCCACTTGACACAGCTTGTGGGGAAAAGCTGAACTCCCTGTTTCGAAAGCTATAAGATTCCGGTTTTCATAAAAAGACACTTTAACGCTTGTTCGTAACAGTGTTGGTCAGGACGGGAATATAGAGGGACACGAGAAATTGCTCTCGGAATTTTTCTCAAGATCACCTAACCCAGCTTCAATCTATCAAATTCGCTTAATTTTGATGAAGAAAGATGCTACAATACACTCACATTCTTCAAAAAAGTGAGCAGAATGTAATAACTGCTCTCATCACGATTAAGCGCATCATTCCTCTTTGACTGGCAGTCTTACCAAGGCTTCAGGGTCTTCAACCATGCATCTTCTTCAAATACGCAAACTGCTTTCACTCTAGAAAATTTCGGAGAAAAAAAAATTCACGCTTTGATCTTTAACCTACAAATAGATTTTTCGGACTAATTTCTCCCGGTCACTCTGTTATCCTTGGACCTTCATTAAATTTCGGGGATGTGATAGTTCGTCTATCTGTTCATCCCTCACATTCAGCCGGACTTGGTTCGAATCCAAGACCATCAAACACGTCTGGGGCTTTACTCAAGATACCAAGCGGTACATGAAAGAATATGCTGCTCCAATTTGAAAACTTCACCGCTATTCGAAAATAACACAGATCTACTTGATTGATCTTTTCAAATATTGTACTATTAAAACTATGGTCCTAATAGACAACAGTTGCGTCACTCGGATAAAGTTTATCTCTGCCATATCATTGATAACAGCACTCGTTCTAGCTGCTCAATTTGCATAATTCCCAACCTTTGATGCGCGGTTCACCTGCTGCTCAGCTTCTTCAATGAATTTGATAACAGCTGCCCAAAAATGTTCGACAGAAAAGACTGTCTCGCCTGACCGGATGTAGTTCGATAACATATGGACAGTCGGTCGATATACTAAAGTATTCTACAAATGATATCCGTCGAATTGCAATTTTCTTACAAGCGGAAGAACGGGGCAGTTTTCCTTCGAATCCAATGCCCAAACTTCGATACTCACAGATAACTTTGAATTTGTTGCAGGGAGAAGCCTCCTCCTGATCCTATATTCCATGGCTACAATCTATGGTAACAACATACATGGACGAGATATGAAAGGCGAGGAAACTTACAAAGAGGAGAATCGCACAATGTGTACATAAGTGGGGAATGCCAAACATTGGGCAAATCTTTACGAGCTTCAAGTAAGGCCTTGTTTTTAGAGGACGCCATGGTTGAAAACAGTCCTCCTTTACACACTGAAGAAACTCTCTTCCGTCAGCTTATGCAGTATCTCGCTCTTGTGCTTCTCCGGGCAATCGTCTATCGAAACAACGCCAAAATCTTGCAATGTCGAGGAATGCTCTCTCTCTCTCTGAGAAAACTGCTAATGAAGTCACTCTCTCTGTCTTCCGTTTCTTTATCTCTGACAATGCAATTTCTCAAAGAAATTGGTCTATCCTGAAAAGGTGAGTGTTATCAGAAGCAGTCGGAAAATGTGCATCCTGCTGGACACAGTAGAGACAATAGTGATGTGTAAGTGCTTTTTCCAGCTTTATTATAATCTGCTCGACGGCAATCAATATGAATTGCGCCAACACGATGCTGATTGTTGCCTACCACCCTTCCTTAGTCTCCTGCTTGCCACTTTTTCCATCTAATTTCATGCACGGGAACTGTTCCCATTGTTTTGCTCACTTAGAACAACGCCTAACCATTTTTCTCTTGTCGTTCTGTTCTTCTAGACCTTGTCCCTGTAACCAGGGTTGCGGTCCCACCACTCTGCGATGCAATTCTCATTGTGGGACAAGATTAGAAGAACTCCAGTTCATGCCTGCTATTCTGCAGACGAGCGATCACGAAACCCGACATTCATGTGAAAGCTGAGTATTTCATCTGAACCGGATATTACTGCCATGCATGCTGATCTACTCAATCCCCTGTGTCGGGAGCGTGCGCAAATTCATGATTACCCGGCGGAATTTAGGCCTGCAGGTCTGTACTCACCGGGTACAGTATATGGGTATGATTTCTTTAAAAAATGTCTTTCTGGGTGGTAACTTGATACACCAGTTACAGTCTAAATGTGTCCCTATCGCCGCCAAGTCAAGCAATGCAATATCTAGTGGTAGATTTCCACGTTGCTTCCGGGCAGAATTTGATGTCAAAAAAAACATTTTCCTGTGGTAGATATCCACGTTGCTGAATGAAGGTAAGAAATGCAGCACATGCAGTAAAGCCAACACTTCAATGCATTCAGATTATGAAACACCTCTCCTTTGTCATTTCATTCCGCTATATCACGCATTTCATTTGTAGTTCGTTTGGCGAATGGGAGCATTAAAGCAGAGGCTCGGAAACTGGAATGTAATGATGCACTAAGGAATGAGCAAAGAGAAGGTTAGAGAGTATGAAACGATGAATTAAAAATTAAAAAAAAAAAAAAAGTTCGAGTGGAATCACGTGATGGTCTTGTACCAAATTATGAAAGCTTGGAGAAAGGTGGACAAGTCCACAGTATATATACTTTAAGTGTCTATAGCAGACATTTTACTTCAAATTTTACATTTAATTTCAAATTTGTATTCTACCGAGACCATCATCATCATGAGCTAATCATGCCCACCCATAGCATTACATGTGAGCACCCCATGCTATTCAAATTGCACCTATGTATTACCCTTCTACACAAATCTTGGTTGGATCTCACAAACAAAACTTGATGTGGAGCTCAAGTTATTTCAGAACTTGAGCCCCAAAGTTCTCTTGTTTAGTGAATTCCAACCAAGAAATTTGACTCCGATTTGGAGTGGATGCAAGGATCTATAGATTTGAACGCAACATGATAGAATTGTGGATTCTCCTTTATGCTTCCATCACATTTATGATATCGTTGAATTTAGTAGTGGTATGACGATTCAATAAAAATAGTGAGCTCATTGCTACAATGATCACTTTTTTTTTAGATTGGTGATCTAGTATTGCTCATTCAAGCAAAATACAAACGTCCAGGCCGCTGACAACTAAGAATTTTTCCCATTGCCATAAATCTCTTCTAACTCTTACTCAAACTCAACCTACATAGACGATGTGTCATCAATACGGCGCTTTTTTTTTATGGGACCTGGGTATATCTTTACTGTGATCCAAATCTACCAAAATCTCCCTTGTGTTAATTAATCTCATAATTGTTCTTAGTTTTATTTTTGTCTTACATTCTAAATTGTCTATCTTGTGATCCAAATTTACCAAACCCTCCCTATGTCAATCGAACTCATAACTGTCTTTAGTTTTGCATTTGCCTTACTATCTATATCTTCAAGAATCTCCATCTTGTGCATATCATTTTGCATGAAGGAATCTAAAAATGTTACTACAACATAAAACATGTCGAGCTTCATCTTCTCTTGCACTAAAATTGTCTAGAGACATTTATAAACTATGATCAAAAGGTAGTTTTTGCTAGCAATAACAACACCATTGTCAATAATCACATTGTTGATAACTGATTTTAGATGCTTCAACAATTAAAATTGTCAAAATACAACCTTGTGCAATGTATTCTCTTTGAATTGTTCAAGATCAAAAGTTGATTTTTGAAATGATGCCAACAAGTTAATAAATTATTTCAAAAAAATAATGTAAGATTTAGGCAATTTTTTGTATTGCATCTTTATTGAATGATCTTTATGCATCCGCATTCATCACATCATTTAGTGTTTCAAAAACACAAAACAATCAATAATATAGCGAGTTTCATCTCGTTGCATCTTCTTCTTTCAGCATCTTCAACAATTTTGATTGAAGATTTAATTTTTAAAAGATGATATCAAACTCTTACAAACGTCAATGAGAGTATAGAATCGTCATATTGATCTCATCAAAGTATTGATAGAACGATTTTTTACCTTTAATTACTGAAACATGTTTTGTGGTCATATTGTGTACGTAGATCAACGATTTGCAATCTTTTGATCAATGCATCCAACAAATATTTCAAAATGTCATATTTGGCAACAATGTTTCATTCATAATTTGCCACAACAATAATTTTATCTAACAGAGCAAAGATGTGCAGAGCTTTTTTGATTTTTTTAAAAACCATATTGGCAATATGATTTTAAACAAATAAAAAAGCTATGCTCATATAAATCCACCTGAATAAGTATTTTTACTCATCTATGAACAATAATATTAAATTCATGACCATGCAAAAGCCATGAACATGGGTGAATTTGAACATGATATGGGCACACAATAGTGGATTTTGATCTACCATATGCATGATCTGAGAGATATTCAATGAGTTGATTTTCTACATATTAGATTTTTTAAGAAGCTTAATCTAAAGACAACAAATAGTGCATTTTGATTGAAGATTAATGAGAAAAATTGATGTTTTTTCATAGGCTAATGTTAATATTCTAACTTATAAGTTTTGGATAATTAAGTTGCATATGCAATAAATTAAATTGTATTCTTATTGAGCTATAGTTCTTTGTCACAGTTTGGATTAATCTAGTTGATTGATATGCAAATCTTATCAATTTTCATTCTCAATTCTCATACAATCATGTATTCTCCTTTGTCGTGCGACTCGATATCGCCATACATCATACATCGCTGACATGCTCTCCTCACAACTCACATATACATACACAAGGAACAAGATTCCCACGACCTTCACCACTACCACCACCAAAAGGTCTAGATTGTGCCGTGCTCTACAGGATACGAGGGGTAGTGGTCGTGTCTCTAGCGAATGAAGATGTCATCACTCTCTCCTCCACTATGTTAAGCTCAATCTCTTGAGACTGAGCAAACACATAGGCCAATGTAGATAACGCATCGCTCGAGAGGGTAGCATCCCGAACTCTCCGCCGTAGCTCTCTGTCCAGTATCCTGTATCAATACTTGACCGCATGTGCCTCAGTTACACCGTGAGTAACTAAGATCAACCGCCGCATACGAGTGTATGCCTCCCGTAGACTCTCCCCAGTCTTCCGCTCAAACTCCTAAAGACTCCTCGGCTTCTCCGTCTTCACCCCTGATAGTTATTCCTCAACCTCTTGAAGAACTCCGAAATGGGGCTGAACAAAGGTACGTCAGTAGCCTTCCCACTCGTGCTGCTACTGGCAACGCTAACCGCTCCGCCGTTGGTAGCTGCTCCACTAGTACCCTCGGTGATGATACTACTAGCACCTCCACTGCTATCAACACCACCCTGGGTAATCGACATATAGTTTGGAGATCAATGATGCCTCCATGCGTCAATCTCCACAGCATACTCCCTTCCAAACTCATGGTAATCATCCATGGGAGACCTCTGCAGATGCTGAAACAATCTCTTCCATGCAAAGAAGGGTGTAAACAACGTGGGTTTATGAAAGAACTACATATCGCACCAAGTGTCAAACTCCTGGATAAAGTCAGCCAGCTCAATGATGCCCACTGCATCAGAGTACCGCCGTGAGCCCTTCATGGCCCGGTACATCCCGTTCATGTCCTCAATCAACAAGTGTGAGATCCTAGACAATATCACCACCAAAGATCCACTATCTGCCACATCTTGCGTCTTTGCAACCACTGCTGCGCTAGGATGAGGTAGCTGATACCTCAACCCACTCCGCGTAAATCCTCCACGGTCCTCCAGGACCACCAAACTCCTCTATGACGACTAACTCACTAACCGGCATCACTGCCACAACTCCACCTGCCCTTGTTCCCGCACTAACCTGCTCTAGCCCTACTGACTATGGGTATGGGCAACCTAACCTATCATCATCGCAAGAAGACTCTCACGGTCCATTGGTCATCATTCCAGTCTCACCATAAGAGAAACAAAGATAGGCGCCGGTGATTAAATCCAGCCTCACTATCGACAACACATAGGAGTAAAACTACTCCAACAACCAGCATCAACCTAGACATGAGCGTGCATCAAGAAGCAAGATTGGAGAGTATCCAAACACAAGCAAACAGCTAGCAACGACTTTCCAGCCGAAATGAAACACAGCACAGAACAACACAACACATGGGAAATCACCTCGCATAGCGATCACGAGCCGAACTCCAAAGCCTCCTATCATCCTTCGCCTCCCGCGTCTGCAATGCTATCTCGCTCATCCCGTCGCAAAGATGATATCCACGCCGAGTTGTCCCGTACTTCATCTCATATCTCCACTTCATACTGAAACTAGGGGCAAAGAATATAGAAAAAGTCTATATACCTAATTGTTTCCCATAGGAAAAGTAATAATGATAAATCCATATTTTCACAACCAAGAAACCATAATAAGTGAGACGAGTGCAAAATCTCAATCTCTTGAGAAAATATTTTATTTTTTTTCTCTCATCTTAATTTTCTTTTTCTTTTTTTCTCAGTAATCAAGCCAAACAAGTGCACACTCACAAACTTCTGTATTCTTAAGGTATTCACATACAGAGTATGATAAAACCATAGCTAATAATTGTACTTCTCTCTCACATTAGCGAATTGAGTTCTTCTACCACTAATATACTTCCTCTTAGCTTTGCCTCTCACATTAAAACTACAATTAAGGCCTAAAAATAAAAAAAAACAAAAAAACAAATTCTTTCAGCAGTGATTAATTTCAGCGAGCGAGTGTTCACTTACGGCGACCGTTCTCCGTCTTCAGCAGCTCTCGTTTACTAACAGCCAGCGCTCCAATGTCTTGTACAGGGAA